ATTTTGGATAACATAAAAAGTAAAATATAAGAGTTCATAATATATACTTGGGGCTGGGGAAGACATATTTTAGAAGAGGAGAATTACAGAACTGGCTTTTTAGCATTGCTTAGGAGTCTGACCCCTGGAGACAACTTCCCTAAATTTATCTGGTTTCAAGCTTTATATCATCCGTCCCTTTGAAATAACAGATCCTTTGAAATAATAGATTTTTTTTTTTTAAGATTTGTTTTTATTGATTTCAGAGAGAGAAAAGGAAAGGGAGAGAGGAAAGGGTGATGAGAATAATCAATCACTGTCTCCCGTACACCCCTTACTGGGGATCTAGCCTTAACCGGGCATGTGCCCTGAGGGGAGGTGGGTACAGAATCCAACCTTGACCTCCTGGTTCATGAGTTGATGCTCAGCCACTGAAACACAGCAGCGGGCTGAAACAATGTTGTGATTTTGTTGTTGTTCATTCGTTTTTTGTTTGTTTTTGTGGTTCTACATTCTCATCTGTTTCTATTTATTTGGTTATTATATCTATCTATTGTTTGTAGTATTACAAGGTTTCTATAGTTTCTAATGGGAGGCATTGGGTGGAAGGTCTGAATTTGCCTATAAAACATTTGATCCTCTCATTTTTTGTCTTTGACTATTGATATTACAAACTTTGGTTCTTATAAATGTAAAATATACTTTAAGGAAGCCTAGCTCACCGACTCTATCTTTTATTTTAATATTTAGGATTGTTCGGATAGATTTGAGGATTTTCCTATGACCCCATTTCAGCATCTTAAAAAACTGAAATCAAGATCAAAGCTTTCAGAAAAGAAGCCAGATGAGTTAAAACATGCAAGACCGTGTACTGCTCCGGGGGTTAACAAGCATCGAGAAAGCTACACTGGAAAGTTTACAAGTTTCAGCAGGCTTAGTTCATTGAAATGATACAGTCCCATATTATGAAATCCATAAAACACAGTCAAAAAAATTTTAAAAGAAAATGCTGAAAATGTTTGCTCACTTGTAGTATTATCCAATTGTTAAATAGCTCAGAATGATATGTGAGACTGACAGTAAGAATATCATTTCTTCAATTAACAAAATGGTTTGGAGATCTGTCCTTTTCTGTGATAGAAGTCAGCAACCAAATTTCATCTTGTTAGAACCATTTTGTTTTAATTAAAATGTAAATGAAACACTTTTTGATGTAAATGTTTTCATTTATGAATTATAGGGAACAAACCCAGAGATACATATTCAGTTCATATTCATTAGCAACATTGTATTCCTAGCTTTCTTCTTTTTCATTATATGACAGTATTGCTTCAATTCATAGCTCTCAGATTTTTCAAATCTGTTTTATGTTCTGAACGATCCCTACCCACCAGTTTTTAAGTTCTCTGTGTGCTGTTGATTCCCCTTATACTCTTTAGCTTTAGTTATATTTCTTGATTCAAATTAACATAATTCTCTAGGCCTATACAACTTGTTAATTTTAATATTGTCTATCACAACTTTTTACACTATAAAGATTATAGAGAACAGATTTAATACAAATTCCTGAGGCAGCTCCTACATGTAGTGATTTTCTTGAACAACTATGAAAGGGCCTCTTTAATAATAACACAAAACTCAGGAAGCTGCATACATTTGTAAACACTGCCTAAAATATTACCTAGCTAAATCAGCCCAGGACTTAAGTCAGAGACTTCTGAGAATTGGCTCTATTCCTATCAAGTATAGTATTTGGGTTCTGTTGAACTTGGGCTCATTCTTGAGAAGCAAAATTTCAATTTATAGAATTTTTTGTCAGTTTTAATTTTTCTCTCATAAATCAAAAAAATTATGGGGTTTAAGTAGATTGCTGATAGAGAACTTAATTCCTGTATATTCATTTAATAGTATGATCAAGATAGTACATTTTTTTGGAGGCCAAGACTTTCTGGTAATCCTCAAAGTTGTTCTTGCATCAGTCATAGTGTAACAGGGAAAACAGTTATAACTCTGAATCTTTAAGTAGAAGATACATGGGGAATTGGTTTCATGAGTGATGGAATCAAGGCTAAGAAATCAAAAGGGATGTTGGGTCAATCCAGAGATTAGCAAGACCAGGATGTGCTACTACGAAGAGACAGCAGGAGCAAGCGGTGCTACCAGAAGTCCTCAAGCCAAAGGCCAAGAACATAGGGCCACTGCCAGGACTCTCTGCAAGACACCGGGAAGAGGAGTACAGGGTGAGAAATGCCACATTCCCCTCTCTCTTCCTGCTCTCTGATTTTCCACTATTGCCTCCCTGGACACCCAAAAGAGAGAGTGCACGGGAAATGTAGTTCCCAGTGAAGTCAAGCAAGGGAAGAGTGGAGAAATGGATCTAAGAGCTGACAGGCAATTGACCAGCACTACTTATGAGGAAAACCATTGATGGGGTTTGTAGTGAAGAAGGAAATATTTACTATATGGAAATCTCAGATCCCTTTGTTTCATTAAACTTTTTGTGGCAATTCTGTGCACAGAGTTTAAAATTTCCTACCAGGGAAATCTCAAATATTCAAGTTTAAAAAAAAAAAAAATCTCATAACTTTTATTCAAGGTTGAATTCCTTAAATATTTATTAAATGTCCATAATATGCCAAACACTTTGCTAAGCATCAGGATGTACTAGTGAATAAGAATATTCTCAAGGAGTCCACAGTCTACTAGGGACACAAGCACAGAAGTAGTAATAATAGTTACATAAACATTGTTTGGGGAAAGTAGTTAGCTCATAGGGTATTTTAGCTTGGGTCCTTCAGAAAGCCAACATGACTGGACATGTGTATTAGGCAGAATAATGATCCATCAATCCTAATCCCAGGAACCTGTGAATATGGTACCTTACCTGGCAGAAGGGACTATGCAGCTGTTATTAAAGATCTTGGGATGAGATTATCCTGGATTGCCTGGGTAGACCCCAGATAATCTTGAGTTTTTATGAGAGGCAGAATGTCAGAAAAGGAGATGTGAACACTGAAACAAGTGCTGGCCCCTGAGGCCAGGGGGGCAAGCAGCCGGAAGCCAGAAAGGGCAGCCGATTCAGAGCATGGCCCTGCCAAAGCCTTTCCAACCTCCAGAACTGTAAATTGATTTGACCTCCAGAACTGTAAGTTGATTTGTGTTGTTTTAAGCCACTAAGTTTGTGGTAATTTGTTACAACAGCGATAGAGAACTAACATAGCAAGCAGGGAGCCCATGGTGCAAAATTTAAGCCAATCTCAGGGTAAGGACGTCAATCAAGTACAGTATCTACTGTGATGGTTAATTTCAAATGTCAATTTGACTGGGCCATAAGGTGCCCAGATATTCGGTGAAACCTTCTGGGTGTTGCTGTGAGGCACTTTGGATGAAATTAACGTCTAAATCTGTAGACTAACCAAAGCAGACGGCCCTCCTCCATGTGGGTGGGCCTCTCCAGGTCAAGGTCTGGAGAGTTCCATCTGCCTGCCTGTGGCATCAGCTATGCCAGCCTTGGGACTGGAATGCCACTGGCTCTCTAGGCCTTCAGCTTGTCCTTTCACCCTGAAGATCTGGGGACTCCTTAGCCTCCATCATCATGTGAGGCAATTCCCAAGAGTAAGTCTCCTATTGGTTCTTTTCTCTGGAGAACCGAACACAAGGGAGATCTGAGAGGCACTGCCTCACGCTCTCCCCAGTCCACCTTTTACACGCCACATCCCACTGCTCACGCAGACTCAGGAGAACCTCCTCTATAATTCCTGTGGCTCTCTCTTGTGAAGGGAAGTTTAGGAGGTCGGTGGACCACTACAGCCCCTGCCACCACAGGTGACCTCAGGGCCTCTCTCCTCTCGGGTCTTTGTGGCTGTCTTGATGGATGACCTAAACATTCTGGACAAGGGCTGACAATCAACGTGGAAAGGTTTGTGTTTCAAGTTGTCTTTTAATTTACTAGTATATACTGTCTCATTGCTTTTAATTTTTTAGCCTCAAGATAATCATTTAAAAATAATTTTAAATGGAATGTTAGAGAAGTGTAAGATTAAGAGAATCCACAATTCAAACTGCATACTCTGAGACACAGCATCTCTCTCTTGCTAATGTGGTACTACCATGAATTAAGGTCTCTTAATGTCATTATGTTATATCACCTTCAGAAAGAAGCAAGAATAATCATATAAAGGACCAGAATATCTTCTTTCTCCATTGATCAATGTCCAGATTGTCCCCAATCCACAGGTTATGTAAGCAAACGGCTTTCCTTGGCGAAACAAATTAGAATCTGTTTTAGCTTTGTCAAACCAGGCAAAGAAAAATAAATAAAAGTATAAACTCAATTCAATAAATCTTTATTGAGCTCCCACGAGATGCATGAATTTAGGATCTATAATTTACATCAGTAGAAAAGTGTTACTTTAGCCCCTTAAAAAAAAAAAAAAAAAAAAGAAACCACAACTTCTCTATATATTTCAAGTGAATCATTTAATGTAAGTGAGGTTTGATATTATCATAAGTATTAACAGAAGAAAATGGGAAAGTATAAACTTTTCCCTGTTACCAAACAAGGGTTTGATACCAGAATCCACTAGCCTGTTGGTCTAACAATAGCTGATCAAAAAGGCTTGAAAATCTGGAAGTAAAAAAGGTATTTGGAAGCACTGTCCTTTGAGGGCACATTCCCTGAGGGCAGGAAATGTTGAGAGAATTAAATGGCTCAAAAATGATAATGAGATCAAGAAGAAGAATTAGTCACAGCTTTGGAAAAAATAAAACTTGAGAATAGATGACACTAAGTGTAGCTAGATGAATACTTCTAAAGTTTCCCTGGAAGTGTAGTAGCACTCTGAACTAACCAAAGGGGCTACGAACTCATGCTCCTTTGAATAGAGTGGTTTTAAGTGGTAGGTTCTCCAGTGCACCAACTGTATTTTCAAGTATAATTCTAGTATTTGTACCTAGAAATACAGAAGAAAAGCAGCAGGGAGAAAGTGTCAAGTATATAGGATGTAAAGGATTTGGCAGCCCTAGAATTCCCAGTTTGCATCTTTTTCATCAGGAAAGTCACAGTCTGGCTCAGTCCAAGGAGGCGCGGGAGGCAGTGCTACTGATGGCTTTTGATAAGCTGGAGGCAACAGTGAAAGGATTGTATCCTGGCTCTCTTCTTTCATCTGTCAAAGAAACGCAAAATAAGGTTGTTGGTACATAAATTTAATACATGTTAGCAAAAATTAACTTTTAAAGAAATCATTGAAAGTGTGTCACTAAAAATACCTTTGATTCTGGTCATCTGAAAACAGGAAGAAGCGACAGCCAAATAGAATGATTTTTATCAGCACTGTTTTGCCCTTAAGTCATTTCCAGACAATAGAGAACAATAAAATGTCTCTAAATTAATCAAAATATTAACTGAGGATATAGTCATATAAGATGATTTGTTTTTACTCATTTTGCAGAATAGATGTATTTTAGAAAGTCTAACTGAACTACCCAAAAGTTTTCTTGATTTTGACTTTATTTTGTAAGAAAGCTTTTATTAAGAACCTTAACAACCAAACTGTCCCATTAAGCCAATACATGAAGTAACTTTTTAATAGTATTAAAAACATGTAGACAACAGAAAAAAGATCAACTTACCTGTTTGAAGAAAACATGGGACAATAAACTGCTTGCTGATGGCCTGAAAAATTTTTAAGTTATAAAAAAATAGAAACTCATATTAGAATGTTGATTTTTAGGTGTAAAAATCTAATAGAAATTAGGTTTAGACCTACAAAACCCAATAATAAAAAATTAAAAGGAAAAATAATATATGTCAGAGGCCTAATTCTTAGCTTCCTTGACTAATGAGAAGAATTCTTCAGATATCCTTTAATTAGTCCATAACTCAACATTTACTAGGCACTTACTAATTATACAGAACTTATGCTAGTATTAAGGGGCTAAAAAAAGATAAGACGCACACCCTATTTCCAAAATATTAACGATAAGGTGTAATTATATATGATAATTTATATCATAATAGCAGCAACTAACATTTTGTAGTGCTTGAAAATTTCTAAAATGTCTTCACATAAATGCAGTAATTAACATCCAGAAGATTAACTGATTTTTACAAGATAACTTGGTTAGGAAATGAAATAGCTAAAACTGGAGCCAAGTTTTCTAATCTTGAATCCTGTATTCCTCCCTTTTGCTCACTGCTTCTACTTGTTTTTAGCACTGATGCTATCTAGATTAGACTATAATTTTTGGATTGAAGATCGGAAGGAACTATCACAAAGCTTCTATAAAAAGTAAAACGTATATTTTATGTTACTTAGAGGTGAACAATATTACCTTTTCTCAGGATCTTGTTGCAAACAGAGCTGTACCAAGCTAAAGAAGGCAGGGGAGAAAGTTTTTGAGGATGGTGTTTGCAATCTGTCACTATTTACTGTGTGAGATCCACTGGAGACAAGTACACTTTCTCCAATCCCAGAGTCTACCCCTGACCGGGAATTCTTCATTCTGGATTCTGACTGAGGGAAAATACTGATATCCAATGGGCTGTAAGGAGGACCTTTCAATTTCTGTAACAGCATCTAAAAGACAAAAACATTTTCTTTAACTCTCATCAGACAACAATAATAAAGATCCTAAGAGTCTGCAGCGGGGATGTTTACCAGATGTTACCTAGAACATAAAAATAAGGGATCATATAGATGGACGGTACTTCTGGGAATTTAGTAGCATTTACCTGAGTCCGGTGCATGTCCTGGAAAGGCACCTGCCCACTGGCCAATTCACATGCTGTAATGCCAACACTGTAGATATCTGACTTTACGTTGTATCCATGTAAATCCTGTAGAACAATGAATGTGAAGTCCTTTAGTGTAAATAACTTAAAAAGTTATATACATGTGCTTTTTTGATAAAGGATGGTGACCAATAATGGAAAAAACTTACAAGTGAGAAATCAAGCTATACCTAAAATATGGTACACATTTTTAAATTCCTAACATAATAATTTTGATAAGAAAGAGGGGGAAAAAGTCTTGCAATTGTAGTGCATTCACCAATCAAAATATAAGGTCACAACTGTCCTTTAGTCAAGCTTAGAAGACACTCGAGACGCACAGACAACCCAATGCAACGGCCACACCTGACCTGTCTCAGTAGTTCTGGACTCAGCCACGGCTGCACTGATGTGCTGAACTGTGGGAAATCAAACACAGCCCTATGTCTCTGTCCATGCTTAACCAAACTATGCAGGTGGGACAGGCCAGAGAGGGTCACTAGGCCATCACCAGAAATGAGGATATGGCTGGCTTTAAAACTCCTAGAACAAAAAGAAACAATCCTAAATACTAGGAAATTGGCCAACAAAGAAAGAATAAAAATCTGGTCAGAACAAATTCACGTATGCTCTTGGAAATTAAATGCTCTTTATAAAGTAGCAGCACACTGCTATGAATATATGGAAAATGCTCAGGGAATTAAGGAATCCTTCCAGCTATTCAAATAGCATTAGGACAAGAAAAGATGTATCTGACAACTACATACATGTTTGGAAGTGATAATATTTTATTCAAACTTGGAAAGGAATCAAATGATTTTCACTTTTGTAGGATGCTATTGCAAAAGAAGAAGTCTAAAAAAAATCAAAGAACTAATTAATACTTAAAGCATAAGGTTATAACTTAAAGTTAAATGCAGTATAATAAAGAAAAACCCTTTTATAGTATTAACACTATTTACAGAGAAATGTCTCATATAAAAATTTTCCTTTGTCAAATTATAAAAGAGCCTGTTTTTTTTTTTACCCCAAACACTGGATTTGAAAACTAATATAGGGTTTCTAATAGACTACCACATGTCTAATAACCTGGTAAAATTACAATACAGTCTGTGAGAAATCCTCAGTTAACCAGAATGCTGCTAAAAAAACAACAAATGGCCAAAACCGGTTTGGCTCAGTGGATAGAGCATTGGCCTGCAGACTGAAGGGTCCCGGGTTTGATTCCAGTCAAGGGAATGTACCTTGGTTTCGGGCACATCCCCAATAGGGGGTGTACAAAAGGCAGCTGAACGAGGATTCTCTCTCATTAATGTTTCTAACTCTCTATCCCTCTCTTCCTCTCTGAAAAAAAAAATCAATAAAATATATATATTAAAAAAGCAAACAAACAAACAAACAACAACAAATGTAAGAAAAAAAGCTTTACGGAGTTGGAAACAAATAATAAAAAAACAAGCTTATTTAAATGTAACTTAATTAAAAAGGAAAACAAAGTTCCAGTGTATCTTAGAACAGCACTGTTTTTAATATTCAGCCAATTCTGCATCTACAATTTGGTAACTAGAGAACTGATATTTAGTATGATAATCTCAAGATATACAAAATATTTAAGAAAACAGAGAAGGGTTGTTGCAATTTGTACATGATTTCATGGCTCACTCACCATGAAATTTGGAATTGGCCATCAGATTTATGGCGTAAAGATTAAAAACGAATAATGGAGCTATTAGCTTAAGGAAAAAGACAGACATAACTAAAACCCCACTCGCTACAGCGCCCATCCCACATCAGATTGAGACGTGAGCTCCGTGAGGGCAGGCTCCAACAGGCACTGAGCACAGCACTTGGCACAGAGAGGGGGTCTGGAGACTGTGGTGAATAAGCACAAAATGCAAGCTTTAACAGTACCTATTGGCCCTTCCTCCTTCAGTTTCCTACCTCTCCTTTCTGACACTCAGCTGCTCCCTCCTTCCTAAAAGCTCCCTAAGAAATTTCTTCCACTAAAATTCTTTCGTTTTGCAAAACACAAATGAGTAAATACCTGTGAATACAGCCATTTTGGTGCAGATAGTGCAACCCTCTCACTGCTCCAAAGAGAATGTTTCGTATTAAAGTTTCACTCATTCCTTCAGGAAAGTAAGTCCTCAAGAGCTGACTTGCTGAACCTAAAAGAAACCCCTGAAATCTTTAAATGAACATTGACAGTGATTTTGCTTTCGGATAGCTTTTTAAAAAAATGATTTTTTATTGACTGATTGATTTTAGAGAGAGGAAGAGAGGAAGGAAAGGGGAGAGAGAAAGAGAGAGAAGGGGGGGAGGGAGAAACCGATTGGTTGCTCCACTTATTCATGCACTCTTGGGTTGCTTCTTTTATGTGCCTTGACTGGGGATAGAACACACAACCTTGGCATAAAGGGATGATGTTCTAACCAACTGAGCTACCTGGCCAGGGCCTATCTATGCTTTAAAATGTTCTTTTCAACTATAAACACCACACACACCCTTGTTACATTTCAGAACTAACCATTTTCCTATGCAAAGGAAATATTTAAAAAGACTTTTTTAATGACACTTAGGACCAGAAAAGAGAATTAACTATTTTTAGCATTGCTGAGAAAATAAAACAAAACATAATATGTGTATATATATTTTTAAGTCCAGATACAATTCACAAAAGCTATCCTAAAAATCCAAATTTTAGAATCCATTTGTTTATTCAACACACTTACTGAACACTGTTTTGTGCCAGATACTGTATGAGCCTCAGGAACCCAAATGATAAATACATACATAATCCTGCCCTCAGGGTGCTCCGATCCAGTGAAGGAGTAGGCACACACACAGATGTAACCACTACTGCAAGTAAGTTTATTGTGCAGAGAAACTGGAAGAGTTTGTAGCTCTCCACCGAGGGAGGACAGAAACCGAGGGGGAGAGGCAGCGAGCTCAAAGGCACGGGCTTCTTGGAGAAGCAGTGGTGGCTCACTCACCATAAGACCTTTTTTCCTGAGACTAAAATTCAGCACAAACCAGAAATAACAATATAGCATGAAATTTGGAATTGGCCATCAGATTTATAAATTGAAAGTGGTTAATCATAAATCTTACCATAGGCCATAAAAGGAGAAATAACCCAAAGCCAGTTGCCAACAGTGAAAACAGTCCAATAAGTTGTAATATTGGGGTGCCGGAAAAAGTGGGATAGAATCACAGCTTTCTAGGATAAACACAAGAGAAAAGACATGTAAAAAAACCTTTTCCCCCTTACGATGAAGGTAACAACAGCTAATTCTCAGTAGAACTTATTAGCACGAACCACTGTTCTCAATGTTGTCATGCCTTTAAATCTGGTATCCACTACACGTTTGATATGACTTTACAGAAGAGGACACTTAGAAATGAGTTAGAAAACTTGTCCAAGACCACATGATAAAAGAAGTGAGTGGGATATGAACTTAGTATGAACTCTTATTAACAATACTGTATTCTTAAGATAGAAACATTTTAAAAAATACATTTAAAGCCCTGACTGGTTGGCTAAGCTGGTTATATCAAAAGGTTGCGGGTTCAATTCCTAATCAGGGCACATATCTAGGTTTCAGATTTGATCCCCAGTGGGGTGAGTACAGGAAGCAACCGATCAAGGTTTCTCTCTCTCTTCTCCTCTAAATATCAATAAAAACATATTCTCAGGTAAAAATTTTTAAAAAATACATGAAGATAAAGTAAATATGAAGATAAAAGTAACTGCTATCTTTATATCACAGAGAAAACCACTATTAAAATTTTGGTATAGGCCTAATCAGTTTGGCTCAGTGGATAGAGCGTCGGCCTGTGGACTGAAGGGTCCTGGGTTCAATTCCAGTCAAGGGCATGTACCTTGGTTGCGGGCACATCCCCAGTAAGGAGTGTGCAGGAGGCAGCTGGTCGATGTTTCTCTCTCATTGATGTTTTCTTTTACTTTTAAAAAATATATATTTTATTGATTTTGTACAGAGAGGAAGGGAGAGAGATAGAGAGCTAGAAACATCGATGAAAGAGAGTCATCAATCAGCTGCCTCTTGCACACCCCCCACTGGGGATATGCCCACAACCAAGGTACATGCCCTTGACTGGAATCGAACCCGGGACCCTTCAGTCCCCAAGCCGACGCTCTATCCATTGAGCCAAACCAGTTTCGGCAACATCTCCCTTTCTGTAAAAAAAATCAATAAAATATATTAAAACTTTTTTGTATAATTTCTTCCAATCTTTGTGTAATATACATGTGCACAAGTAAACAATTGAAAATGAATTTAATATCAAAACCAAATCCTTCTTTATAAAGAAAGTGATTAGTGACAACAAAAATGGTATTATAATATTCCTGAAAGCAATTCTATTAAAATTTATCAATTTAGAAGTTAATTTTGCCTAACTGAATGGGAGGGTTAAGGTCTCTTTTATTCCCTGTATGACTATTTGTGACTGGACTAACTAGGGGTTTGTAAATCTCCATACCAGCATTTCAAATATGACATTCATGTGAAGGAATTCATAGTAGTTACCAAAGTTTGAATATATTTGTTCTTTCATGGGTCTGCCTTCCAAGTATTCTTTCTAATTCTGTAATTGCATGTTTATTAGAAGAAAGAAATCTACTTTTCTCTAACAGAGAGACCTGTTAATTTGGGGTGGGGAGTTCTTACAGAGGTAACTCCGTGGATGCACAGTACTTTAAATGTGTTATTGTCTGGGGTTGTCACCTGTAAAGCTTTCAGGCGTTCTTCAGTGCAGTTTTCCAGATTTGTGATTTTGACAGTCACCAGGGTTCCTGTGGGAGTATGCCGTGCAAGATGGACAGAAGTCAGGTTGTCAAAGCCTCTTCCTACAACCAGACAGAAAACTTGTGTTAGCAACCAAAGAAGGAAAAAACTGGTAATTTGAACTTCATTAAAAACATCAACTCTGCAAGAAAATGAAAAGGCAAGCCACTAACAGTATTAATAATACTTTTAAGAGAGTATATAAATCACTCTTACAACTCTATAATAATCAAACAAAAACTCATTAAAAATAGGCAGAAGATTAAACAGAAGCTATAGAAATGGCCAATTAGCACATAAAAAGATGTTCAAGATAAAGAAATGCAAATTAAAACCACAACAATATGGCATTACATCCCTATTATAATGGCTAAAATTGTGACTTGATAAACAAATTGTGACACAAACAATGGCATGCTGCTCAGTAGTCCCTACCCCACTTCCAGTCCCTTCCAACCACTATGTGGTTTTTGTAAAGAAATGGTATCATAAAGAATGGAGTCTTTTGTGCCAGGCTTCGTTTGCTTAGCAAACAACTTCATAGGCTTCAGTAGCTAATTTATTTTTATCACTAATAATTCATCCTATGACAGGATAAAATTTATCCATTTACAAGCTGACAGATCATTTGGGTTGTTTCAGTGTTTGGAGACTATAAATCAAGCTTTCAAAAACATTCTTTAAGTAGACATGTTTTCATTTCTGTTTGGCAAATACCTATGACTGGAACTGCGGGGCCATGGATTAACCTTCTTGAGAAGGTGCCAGCCTCTGTCTGAAACTGGCTGAACCAGTTTGTGTTCGCAAAAGCTGCAGGTGCTTGACATGCTCACCAGCATTTGGTGTCAGTGTTTAAATTTTAAAATACCTAAAGTGGCACCTATTAATAGGCACCAAACACTGTGATTGGACTAACTAGGGGTCTGTAAATCACCAAACTCTGTTACTTTTATCTTTAAAAAGACATTAATCTCAAATTCATCCCTTCCTCTGCAGGGTCGGCATCACTGCCTTGGCTCAAGTCCTGTCCTTTTTCAGGGACAGCTGCAGGGGCTTCTTCACTGTGCCCTATACTCTTAACCAGGGCACGTGGCAGAATCACTGAGGGGGCTACTTCCAAAGCCTCGCCTACCTTCAGTCGCCAGCAATTCTGATTCAGTAAGTCTGTGATGGGACACAGGCATCGCACTTTTTAAAAAGACTCGAGTGGTGAGGATACTTCCTCATCCCTAATCTACCTACACCTTTCAGACTTCTGCATAGAACTGCTGCCAGTAGTCTTTCTAAATCCAGCATTTTATCAATAGAAAGGTACTACAGCAAAGCAGCTGGAAGCTGAGACCCTAAAGTCAGAAGGCTTGCTTTTAATCACTAGCTGTATGACTGTTAAATTAATCTCAGAGCCTCAGAATTCTTATCTGCACAATGGGAGCGGTAGGAGGGTCAAATGAAAAACACGTATTAAATGTTCAGTATAATGCCTTGTAGATGCTGATAGCATCATCACAATTCCACAATATCTTTCTAGCACAGTGAGGATAAATTCCAAATTCCAGCCTTAAATCCTTTGAGTAATAAAGAATGTGTTCCCAACCTCCCAGATTATCTCCTGCCCTACCACTGCCTACACTCCCCTTGTTCCCACTTTCTAACCATCACTGAAGTAAGTATTTTCTATCTTTTTTTAATTGACACCATCTGAACCTCCCTCGTAAAGGCATTTCTACCAGTGCTATTTTAGTTTAAATATATTTTATTGACTTTTTTACAAAGAGAAGGGAGAGAGATCCTGCATACCTCCCACTGGGGATGTGCCCACAACCAAGGTACATGCCCTTGATCGGAATCGAACCTGGGATCCTTCAGTCCGCAGGCCGATGCTCTATCCACTGAGCCAAACCAGTTTCAGCTGCCAGTGCTATTTTAGAAAAAGTCAGATCCTTATTCTCCTTGACCCTGGCCAGGAGTGTCAGCGTGGCCAACTGGAGGATGGAGTGAGTGACATAAAGAAGCGGCAGTCAGAACTCGCTGCATGGGATCCACCGTCTGGTGGTGGAAGTGCCCTACGAGGTAGCACACGACCGAGGCTGCTCCATGCCATGGCCCTGGCTGTGGTTCTAGGCTGAGCTCCTTTTGGCTTTTTCCAAGCCTCATTATTTCTCTGGCAAATAATCCTGTGTGAGCAACACTGTGTAAAAATTTTCTCTTTGGCTAGTCAGGATTGTTTTTTGTTGTTTGTAACAAACACTGTGACTGGAACATCCGACAACCTTTTCCTCATTCTCAGGATCCAGCTCTTTCTGCTCTTTCTTGACTCCCAGATGGCTGGTCGGATGCTCCATCTTCTCTGTTCCCACAGCACCTCGCACACCTCCACTGCAGCTCCCTCTAGTGGGTAGAACAAAGCCATCTGTATGTTCATCTTCCCAGAGAACGGACTTCTCACGTGTATTCCATGGCTTTATATCCCAGCATCTAACAGCGCCCGCAGCGCTTAATGTTTCTGAATACTCAGAGAGTAAAGGTTTTAGGTGTATAAGGCTATAGATAATGACCCATCCTGTTCCAAACTTAACTGAGATAGCTTACCACAATAGATGGGATTTCAGATAAGTTTTTAAGTTAAAAGTAATTTGATTAAAGGACTATGACTAAAAAGATCTTTATTCTCATCAATTTCATTTCTAACAATGAAGAATCCATTATGTGAAATCCATGATTATTACCTATTTCCACTTGGAGTTCATAGTGAGAAGCATTGGTGGAGCAGACCGCTTCACTGAGTCTAGCAGATGGAGACAACCAGGGAAGGGTTGGCTTGTCAACCTGCATGGTTTTAGGAAGATGAAAACAAAAGACATTTAGACTCTTGTGGTCCCCCAATTTGATCCCCTACCTTAATATAAAATGCAGACGTTGTATTTTCCAACACACAGTGTTCATTAGGAAGGCACACTGAAAGGTGACTTAGGACACTGGTTCAAGATCTAAAAAGAACTTACAATTGCTAATAATTGATGCTAGTTAGAAATCAGCTGATAATGGCGCGAGGGCAGAAAAAACAGTTTTATAGGTAGCAGAATACTTTCCAGCACAATTTCAAGCAAGCATTTTAAGGAGTTGCTAAGAATAGTTCATTCTTCAAGGTAGTAATAAATAAATATGTCAAAGTAAGAGATGCAGGGGCCCGCGAGAAAGGATTCTCTGCTTGTGCTACTGTTTCAAGGAATCGCGAGTTTTATCCATGACACACACACATACATGCTCAGCTAGTGGAGGTGCTAATGTCAAGAAATAATTTCCACTCTCTAGTCTATTAAAATAGACAAGATGAAATGAATCAGAAGGGAGATAAAAAAAATAAATTTCAAGAAATGGGAGACCACAGTACTGACCCCCCGAGTTAATGAACATGAACCCTATGGTGTCTCACTGGGTGCTCTAATGTCGGAGTCTGGTCTGCACCGTTCCAGTGGCAGCGAAACATGCACGCAGGAGGAAGAGGAGGCCAACCACTTGGTGTCATACGATAGCTAGGAGGCTCTCCCTGAGGACACTGCACTCCAAAGACACCCGGCGCCTCACAGGCACCAGCAGGCGCCAGAATCTTATTACTGCCTCCAAGGTAAAGAGGAGGAAGAAGGGCGTTAGAAATCATATTACTATGTGCTAGGAATTGTGCTAATTACTTTTTATATCCTTAACTCACATGTTCCTAAAGTTTTAAGAACAGAAAAAGATAAGCTCCTGGCTAAAGATGAATAAAAGTGAATATTGTTAAAAGAGGGATGAAAGATTGTAAAAAGAAATTCCACTATATAATTGGGAACAATCCCAATGAAAAAAAGAGAAATATAAATCAATTTAATTTCTTTAGGACAGGTAGTCTTCAAATAAACTGAGATCTAACGAACGCACGTAAGAGACAGGAAGAAGAGCATATAACAATTTAAAACAAATTGAAAGTGACAACCTGAAACCTGTCAGGGAGGCGAGAACACAGAATTAACTGAGGCTTACAGTTCACTGTCTGGAAAAAATGGCATAGGTGGTCACATGATGGAATGAAGTCAGGTGATCAACCTGTACTTTGCTTCCATCTTCTCCATTAGGGAAATAGTCTTTTTTAAACTAGAAGGCACATACGTTGTAAATAACTAGCTCAAGCCTAAAACAGGTTATTTTATTTTATTTTATTTAGTTATATACACAGTAGAGGCCCGATGCACAAATGAGTAAGTCTTCCTTTCCCCGGCTTCCAGGACCAGTTCCCTCTGGCACCCAGGAACCAGGCTTCCCTGGCAGACCTGGCTTCCTTGGGAAGGGTGTCTGATCAATTAGCATATTATGCTCTTATTATTATAGATAAAACAAAATAAATCTATAAAAACAAAATTAGACACACACATATATGGTACTAAGAGTTGTCAAGGTCACAGAGACAGACAGTAGAATGGTTGCCAGGGGAAGGGAAGGGAGAGCGAACGGGGAGTTGCTGTTCAATGGGTAGAGATTTTCCCTTTTATAAGAAGGAGAGTTACGGAGACAAATGGTGATGGTTGCACATTATGCATGTGTTTGATACCAATGAACTGTATACACTTAAGAGTGGTTAATATGGTAAGTTTTATGTTACATGTACTTTAGCACATACCAAAAAAAGATAGCACGTGTGGAAGTTTACTGAGTCCTAGGCCTGTTTCTTGGCAACAGCAAGGAGATAACAGCAGATATTTTACTCTCTGAATATTACCTCAGAAGGTAATATCTGAATAAAAGCAAGGATTAGACACTACATCCTACCATAGCTAGGTAACTAGAAGACTTTAGAGTATTAGTGAGCTTTAAAAAGTGAAATGACAAAAATGAAGATAAAATCGGGATAAATGTACAAACAGGACTAAATGGGATTATCTTATTTTGTAGGAAATAAGCCATTTGCAAGGCAGGTTCCATTTTGCAGTGAGAAATATTCATTCCCAAGCATGTTTCTTTAAATTATTTATATCAGGCATTGCCCAGGGGAGATAAAGATGAAAAAGTCAGGCGGCTTATTTTATGGGTTATAGTTGGAAGAGATGTATACAACAATCATTGTGACAATGAATAAATACCATTTTATAGGAATGTCTAACATATGTTGGAGCATAATAAATTAAAGGTACAAGAAGAAAAGCTTTAAGATATGATATTTGGGCCAACTCTTTATGAATGAGGAGAAATTTTAGAGGCAGAAAATGGAGACTATTTCAAGCAGGAAGAAGAGTATATGCTAAGATTCAAAAATTAAAAGTTATTCCATACCACTAAGATCCCTTATACTATGCTAACAAGTTTAGGCCTTCCCTCTTCACTCACGTGGAAAACCTCTATTAATGTCCTAAGACTCTTAGTAAAACCTCCTGTCCTTCACTCGTTAGCTGATTCTCTCTCGTGGATACTAGGGAGAAGAGCCAGATTTGCTTTCAGAACGGAGGTGCTAATCTCCCCAACCACTAGGACCACTGAGTCTTGTACAGGGAATTGCCCTCTTCAGAAAGAAGCCACCCTGCCCCCAGTTAGCCACTTCCCTGGTGCATACAGGAGTACAAATGCCCAGAGCCCTTGGACAACAAGGACGTTTAGGTAGAGCCATGCCAGCTCCAGAGATGCTCATGGGAACGGCTAAGGCCTCTCTTCAAACTTCTTAGGTACCAGCAACACTGCCTCCTCCATCTCTCACAGGGTTAGTCTAGAAAAACTTCCCAACAAATTCCCTGCATGAAAAAGAAAAGGTTTAGGCTTTATCCCATGGCTTTGGGGACCAATGAAGTCTCAAAGCTGGAAAGTGCACAAGGAGGCCTGTATTGGTAACAGTGTTGAATCCTGATCTGAGTGTGAGAGGAGGGTGTGCGCATGTCTAGGAAACTAGAGGCAATGAGTCTTCTGGTAATAGTCCAGGTGAGAGATAACGAGACGTGAGTAGCAGCAGTTAGTGATCAGGTGAAGGAGGGCATGGACTCGGGTATTTCAGATACTGAATCATAAGACTTGGTGTATAACTGCATGTGGGAGCAGAGGTAGAGGCAGTGTGAGGATAATTCCAGTTTCTAATCAGGATGATCTAGTAGATGGTTTTTTGTTTTTTGTTTTTTTGTTTTTAGCCAGAGTAGGAAACACAATGTATTGCTAAGTCTGAGAGAAAATTAAGGTTTTACCCAAACTGCATAAAAATGTCTTCAAAAACCCTAACACAAGGTAGTCTACAGACACCCCTGTGCACAAGAAAGAGTGACAGATATAGGTAAAAATGTGAAAATCATCAGTTCTGCTTGATGCCAGAGTCCCCTCCTGACCTGAGGAAAACCTGAGGGAGCTTCAGGATAATGTGAAAGCTGAGCAACAGAGCCTTAGAATAAATAGGTGAATGCTCAAGGAGAGATGGTTTAGACAGAAAAGAAGAGGCCAGTGATAGGTCACTGGAGAAGAGCAAAGACACGGTAATGGAGATGGATGTTGGAGAACCAGGGTGAGTGGTATTACAGACGCAGAGAAAGAGTATTAATTGTACACAGTCTTTTCTTACCAAGTTCTGATGGATACTGGTTTCAGACTGCTTTTCAGGTCTGAGTGATTCAACTTGTGTTCGTGAAGTGCAGAAACAATCCTGGAAATTCAGAAATGAATTAAATAAGTGAAAAAAGCCCCCACAAAATAAGCAGGGGTGACATGTGGATGCAAGAAGGTCTAGTGATGGAGTGAGGGGCAGAGATAAAGGGTAGCACACGGGAACCTGGAATTGAAGCCAGGACTCATTATGTGGGGGTACAGTATGTGCAAGGACAGAGAAGCAGCGGTGTGTGAAGACTAATTCTTTCTGTTGTAATTCTACTTGGCATATCTCTGATCCTTGTCCTCTCTCTGGAGGTCATAGTATCAATTCATTTTTACAGTTGGTATTGATATTGAACTCTTCTATCACCTGCAGTTTTCTTCCGAATATTTAGCTAAAGATTATTCTGCTCTACCCACTATAATCATTTTTATTTTGATACTCAGATTTGCTTTGGAAAATGAAGTAGATATTTCACATTAATGTATTTTTCAGATATATAAAGCTCCCCCTTTTAAGTAAAAAAGCTATACTTTAAACAAAAGTAATGCATTCTGTATTTTCTATAGAACATTTTCCTCACTTCATAGTTCTGCCTCTTATACTTGGCAAATGAAGGTGTTGATTAGCAGATATGAGTATGAGCCCTGGTTCTAATTTTTCACAATCTTGGGCCAAACTCAAAATGAGGATTATACCACCTGCCCAGCCAGTCAATCACAACTTTGAAGAGTGGAAGAGATATAATGTGTGAAAATTTTCTGTAAACTATACATCCTCATATAAGTGCACCCATCACTTTATAAAAATTCAAATATTCAAGTATTGTATTGTATTCTATATAAAACTAGATGGAAGTCATAAAACTACTTAATCTAAAGTAGATATCAATATCTAAAGTATACTAGTTGTGGATCTAATATTATCAGAAAAAAAAATATTTATACATCATATTATACATTGACCCAACTGCTCTTTGTCTTGTTAAGCCGAGGGGCTTATTTAAATATTATTTTGCTTGCCTTCAGTCAGATGGAAATTTTTAAGATATTTTTGAAAGATTGAAAGGATAAGACATAGCTAACTAGATAAGAGAGGAATATCTAAGTAGAGCATATGTATGAGAAAAAGTGGGTTTTGGTCAAAAGAACAGAATAATGAGTATATCAGAAAAGTATAGGAGACATTCTTTTTTGAAGAAATAAAAACTCAAGAATTTAACTCATTTCTTAAGACCAGAAGTCATTCAGGTCAAAATAACATCGCAAAGTAAAGAATATCTCATCAGAATATGCCTTTTGTTATGGCTCTGTATTAACATCTAACTACTCTGATGGCACAAAATCAGATCCATGTTAACAAGAACTTACCAGAAAAGACATTGAATCGCTTTATTTCACAAAAAGTGATGAAAATCCATCTATTACAGGGAAGATTGCTTTATCTTCAAGATGCAGAAATATCCTACTAAAAAACAAAAGGAAAATAATTTAGACTTACATATAAGCTTCTTGAGAACTAGTTATCATAAACCCACACGATATTTAGGCAGCTGCTCTGACACAAGGACCAGAGACAGTCCTGGAAAGGGTCTTTAGAGGATTTCTGTTTACTTGAACACTATTTGGGCTCTGACATCACACCAGAAAGGCAGAGTGGAGGTTCTGGATCCCTTTTCAAAGCCTCAGTATATCTGCATCTCCCCTTCCCTATCTTTTCTGCACTTTTTAAAGAGCCCTAGCAAATGTGAAAACAATATAAAAAAACAATGTTGGGCCACTTTTGATATAAATGGTGTTGCAAGAATTCAATGATTCCACTCTAAATAAACTTTGAGGCTTCCTTATCAGATTACTTATCTTTTCAATCATTTGAGTTCCCTAACCAGCAATTTGGAAAGAATCAGGATAGTGACAAACAGAATATTTTCTTGTTGCTACATTTAAAAGAAGAGATTTTTTTTTTCAGTTTTCATGTAAAATAACATTTTTTTGTAGGTTGAATATTTTTTACTTTATTTTGAGTTCTCAGTTCTATTCTTGGAATTTATTTATAGACATGAAAAATATGCAGATTATTATAGAAGTCATTACTGTCCACTTTCAGTAATAGAGATTAAGCTCAATAGTTTATGAAGACTCTGCAACAGATTCAGAGATTTAAAATAGTAACTTCTACAGATTCAAGGAGCTATAAAAGCACCACCAATAGTAGTTTCCAGATTTTTCCTAATAGAAAGGGTAGTACTTTTCTAAACTGGCTAGTGCTTTGGTATTTCCTTATAACTAATCAATGTCTTTACTTTCATATAAATTGGCTTCATTATTTAATTTAACAAAGTTCTCAAGTTTGATGAAGGCATCTGCAAATATCTGAGCAAAATGAGAATGAAAAGATCTTGTAAACCACAGATATTATAGAGTGGTACCCAATTTTATTGCTAAGGAAAAATATGTATTTGTCCAAGATGGTCACTACACACCAAAGGTAAAGAATGTGAGGCAGAAGAACCTGAAAGCACGATTATTTTGTCTTCTGTCATTCACTGCATCGGTGTAAGGCACTGGAAGTTGCTGTTACAAAAGGAGGAATGCAATGCCTGCCCTGCCCACCTTCCAGGGGGATTGAAATCAAGTGAGAGACTTCATCGAAAGTACCCATAACTCCCAAACACTGTATCAATACGGGAGCCTGAGAGGATGCTCTGAAAGGCACACTCAAATACGCCAGCACAAAATGGTATGGCTCGTTTGGGTAGTGAGTTGGCAATATTTTGATAAACATGAAAATGTTCAGACCTTTCGACCCAGTTATAATTCTCACTTCCAGTAACTTATTATAAGGAAATATGCAAGCCAATGAAGAAACCACCTATACAGAGAAAGCCATTCTGCTGCCATGTGAGACAGCCAAGTAGTCGTTTCACAGTTGTTTCGTAATCGGCCACTACAGTGCCGGGCACTGGGGGCACTCCCTGGTGAAGGGGCAGGTAAGGTTCTGACCACCTGTAACTCACCTTCCCACCAGCAGAAAGACGAGGGATGTCACAAGGAACTGAACTGTCTGGTTATTACGATTCTGTTCTCTGCTTTTTCCACTTCATATCAGTAAGTTCTTTCTTAACTACAAGAACAACCACAAAGCTTTAAACTTCATTACCTTACCTATTTTTCAGGAAAACGCAGAAGAAACGGGCACCAGGTGTGAGAATTGTTAGTACTAAAAGGTTGTCCCCATGGGTGGTTTAATCCCAGAGGCTTTTTTTGCTTAGGCTATCCCAGTCTAATAAGAGATAATTTTACAAGACATTTTGAGGTCAAGGCGGCAGCTGCACCTAGTCAGGGGCGTGGAAGTGTGTGTGTTGGAGACCCGCTGTCATATTTTTCTCTACATGTTCTTTCACTAGGTATGAACATGAATACTTTAAAAATGTTCATATTTCAGACCTAATTTTCCAAACGTATTCACAAGTACATTAGTGTGGCCCCTTGCACCTGTATCTAAAAGCTAATTAGGATAAAGCTTTACGAATAATTTAAAGTTGTCCTATAACAGACTGGTAGTCCTAAGGTTTTAATCTGAAAGGGTGATACTTTCTGTGAAAATCAGGAGCTGTGTCAATTTACAGAACTCCAGCAGTCCGTTGTTATAGGGAGTGCAAACAAAAATAAAAACAAAAAACAAACCCTTATTTACATCTCTGCTGAGCTTTTAAATGACTGTAATTTTCAAAGTGGTCTTGGAAACCTATAAGATCCATAATATCTTAAAAAATATATAGCAACGCACAACTCAGTATAATTTTCCAAATTAGGATCGTGACTCATGCTTTCAGAAGATGTTGCCTGACGGCCTACTGTGTGCTCCGGGCGAGGCAGGCGATGGGTCACACACCCGGACCCAGTTTTCAGGGGAAAGGGTACCCGGCACAGTAAACCCACGCAGGCGAACACGACGCTGAACTTGAATGCTGAGGACAAAAACGACGCCGGGCATCAGCTTTTGTAAAAAGTTCCTCCCGGGTCCTGCGGGGACGGCGCCGCGGGGGCTCGGACCTCGCGCACCGGGCGCCGCCAGCCCCGCGGGCACCGCCTCCCCGCGCGCAGGTGCCGCGGCCACCGCGCGGCCGGGGGCGCGGGCAGCGCCGGGCAGGGCCGCGCGCGAGGCCGGCGGCCCGGTCCAGCCTCGGGCTTCGCGTGGACCGCGCCGCCCTCCTCCTGCCCCTCCCGGCCCCGGCCTCCCACGTTACCCGCAGGCGATCACGGCCAGGACGCTTTCTCAGGCGGCCAGCGGTGCGGGGCCTGCGCGGCGCGGGAGCCCGGTCCGCCCAGGGGCACGGCGAGCGCGCGAGGCCCGCTCCCAGCGCGGGCCGCGGGGAGCAGAAGGCCGGCGAGACCCGGACCGGGGCGGTCCGCGGGGAACTCTGCCCCAGTCCCCGGCTCTGGGTCGGGGCGGAATTCGCCCCACCCCGACCTGGGTGGCCCCGCCTCCCGCCCCAGGGCCGGGCAGCCAGGGGGCGGGGCCTTCGGGCTTGGGGGCGGGGCCTTCGGAGGAACTACAAACTCTGGAAACTACAATTCCCAGCAAGCCCTGGGCCTATGCGTGGAGGCTGCTGGGAGAGTGGGTTTCATTCGCTCTTCCCCAATTGTAAGGGGACTGACTGAGCTTCGATCCGGTGCCGCCGCTAAACTGAAGTCGCCGAGCAATGATGCTGTGAAGTCGCCGCCCGTCCCTGCCACGCCCGGAGGTCCCCGGCTGCGGCGCGGGCGGCAGCTCAGCCGCCGGCTGTTTGGAGGCTGCCGCCGCCTGAGGCGCTTCTCCTTGAGGGGACGCGGGCGGAGGGCGGAGGACTCTGGCCGTTCCTGTGAGTAACCTTCCGTGCGCGACCCGAGCTGTCCTTGCCGACTTCCCTGGGCGCGGGGCGCCCTCAGCCCGCGCGCTGCCCGGTCCTCCGAGGTCACGCTGCCCGGTCCTCCGAGGACACCGAGCCGGAGGCTGGGGCCCGAGGGCAGGGTGCGCGCCGGGGAAGCGGGTGTTCCCCAAGTGTGGGTGCGCAGCGATGGGCGCCGTGCGTGGCCCGCGGGCCCCCCCACTTCCGAGGACCCGCGGCATTCTCCCTCCCTCCCTCCCTGCGGGACCGTATCCGCCCGGCCCCCGCCCCTGAGCGCGGAGCGCGGAGCGGCTTAAACCCAAAGCCTCGCTCGCCATCTGGGATGTGAACCGGAGGAGCGGGCATTGGAAAGAGCTCTTTCTGGGCTGAGTTGCGTTGGATTTTTTTGTGTGTGTGTGATTGATCTTGAGCCAGACACCACACGTCTTTCCAAAGAAACGGTTGACTTTAGTTTCAAGCGCAGATAATGGGTATTGGCAGATGTCCTTGTTAGGACTGGCATAAAGGTAATCTCTCAAACATTTAAAAGATTTCTGGGTCACAGAACTGGTGCTTGCCCACAAACTTTTTACCAGTGTTTAAACGTGCAGTTTCTGAGACACACACACACACACACACACACACACACACACACACGTGCAGTTTGAGCCACACACACACACTCACACTCACACATACCACAAACAAAAAAACATACTGTTCACTGGCAATTCCTTAAGCTAGAATGGACCATAGGAATAAAATTAAATTAAATGTTCCAGTTTAAAAAATATATATATTTCAGTAAGCTTTTTCCCGACCCTCAAATCTTTGCTGTAGAATTGGATGTCTGAGCTACAGTGGTCTCCAAATAGCATGTTAAGGGTGGAGACGGGGCACTTCCAAACAAATTGTGAAGGACAGTTGGGGGTGAGAGAGGACATTGTTCATGCAGCTTTCTATTTTTAAAATTAAGTAAACGTTCAACAAGCCTGAGGCATTCAGCAAGCGCACACTTTGTGAAAGACAGTGTTTTGTCATTTTATAGCTTTTTATTTTGATCGAAGGGGTTGGAAAGAACAAACATCTGAGTGTTTTCAATCTGCAGGCACCCCAGCCATGAGCTCTGCAGACATTCACCCAGTCACCATAACCCTTTTGCACTAAGTCTGAGGCTCAGAGACGTTAAGTGGAGACTCAAACCTAGATTTGCCTCCCTTTATAGTTACAGGTCAGATAACTTGTACCTCCTTCAGAAGTTTTTCTTGAAGGCACCTTCCAGTGTTATTTCCCAATACTGGTTTCTACACACTTTGGGCATCTAGAATAAGTCCAAACCCCTGCTTTTGAACAAGTTGTTCTTTCTGCTTGCAATTCCTGTCCCCCAGAGAGCTACCCATTAAGATCCTAAAAGCGCATGCCAAATCCACTCCAATTTACTTATGTAAGACATAGGATTGGATTTTCACCTTAAAAGGGCCTTTCTGGCTCAAAGTTTTAGTGAATCTACAA